GGGGTTGGGGTTTGGGGTTGTGGGTGTTGGGGGTTGTGGTTGTTTGGTTTGTTGTGGGGGTGGTGTGTGTGGTCTGTCATTGCTGATTTCAACAAACCTGATGTCATCTGTCTAAATGAAACATGGCTAAATCCAAGCATAGCGCTCACCATCTCCGGTTATACCACATTTCGTCGCGACCGACCACCTCATGATAACAAATCCGGTACGGCAACCAGAGGATATGGTGGAGTTGCGATTCTTGTCCGGCAAAATCGCTTCGGAAGAGTCCAAGTTCGCGACGACCTTGCTCGTCCGACCTGTGGATCCGTATGGGTTGAGCTTCACCCAATCTTAGGCTCCCCGACACCCATCCTCGTCTGCTGTACCTACCGTCCGCCCTCAGTCAAAACCACGGAAATAGACCACTTCTGTGATATGCTAGCTAGTGCTTTGGTAACCGTTCCCATGTCATCGTACCATGTCATAATGGCTGGGGACTTCAACAGTAAGCACAAACGGTGGTGCCCATCGGATTTAACGTGTCCTGCTGGGACGGCACTTTTTCGCACCCTTACCTGCTTCGGTTTGGATCAGCTGGTGCAGAGTCCAACGCACACAACATCTTCCGGAACACAGTCATGTCTAGACCTTGTCTTCACGAACCAACCCCTGCTGGCGACGGACGTTCACACAGCTTGCGCTCTTGGCTCCTCGGACCATCTCATGGTTTCATGCCAGTTCGCCGTCTCATTGCCCTCGGATCCAGACCTGCCACTTCCTTCTCGCAAACCGTTCCCATATCGCTTCCGTCGAGTTCCCTCTCAGTGCTGGGACTCTATGAACGCTGATTTCTCCTGCCACGACTGGTCGTTTCTGCAACCAGAAGGCTCTCCAACTGTTGACGCCGCGGTAGATCACTTTGCAGCCGTCCTTGAACGAGGGTTCCAACAGCACCTCTCTAACTTTGCTATCGGCTACAACAACCGGAAACATTCCAACCCAACATCCTCGACATCTAGTCCCCCCTGGGTGACACGGTCCCTCGTATCTGAAGTGAAGCGCAAGCGTGATCTTTTCAGCATCTACAAGAAATTCCCAACGCCGGTTAACCGGGAGGCTTACCGAGTTCAACGCAACTTCGTCAAGCACCTTTCTCGTACCTCACACCGCTCCTTTCTAAACTCTCTTTCTGCAACACTCTCCTCCCCCGATCGCCCATCACTCCACCAATTCATTCGCAACCAGTGCCGCGGGACCTCCCGCGCGCCAATCCAGTACCTGACGGACTCCAATGGCAACCGCCAGCACGATGTGAAGGCGATTGCAGACACACTGAACAAGCAGTTTGTTTCATCCGGCATTCCGGAAGATCCGAATTGGGTCATTCCATCGCTGTCCCCAGCCCCTGAACTTAGCGCACCACTCACACGCGTCGTTACCACGACTGCTACCGTCTGTAAGCACCTCAAACTCCTGAAGAATTGTAAGTCCCCTGGCGAAGATGGCATACCCAATGAGGTTCTCAAATGGCTTGCGCCATCTCTGTCCTATCCCTTGTGCCTGCTCTTTAACATGTCATATCGTACAGGAGTATTTCCGTCCGTCTGGAAATCTGCTGTTATCGTCCCGATCTATAAGAAAGGCCAACGCTCTCAGGCTGGCAACTACAGACCAATCTCTCTCCTTCCCGCTGTGTCCAAGGTCTGTGAACGTATTTTCTTTGAGTCTCTGTACTGCCACGTCACCCCAGCGCTTTCACCATCTCAATCCGGTTTCTGCCGTGGAGACTCCACAACTTTCCAACTAACACGTCTAGTACAAGACATCTACACCCAGCGGAACCTCAGGCGGCATGTTGGCATCGTGTTCTTTGACCTAGCGAAAGCTTTCGACACCGTCTGGCATCGTGGTCTGCTTGCAAAGCTAGAGTCCGTCTTCTTGGTACACGGTCCAGCCCTGCAATGGCTCTCATCCTATCTTTCCTGCCGCCACCAGACTGTCAGAGTATCTACCTCCCTATCAGACCCATTACTAGTCGTGTCTGGGGTACCCCAGGGGTCCATACTTGGGCCGCTCCTATTTCTACTGTACGTTAATGACTTGCCAGCCCTTGTACCAAATGTAAGTCTTTTTGCTGACGACACTGCTCTGATGTGCTCCGACAGCTCGGCAGACAACCTCACGGCCTCCATGCAGTCCGGGGTCAACGCTACAGTAACATGGATGGAAACCTGGAAACTGAAGCCTAACCTCGCCAAAACCGAGGCCATGTTCTTCTCTCCCTCGCCCCCCACTCAACTTCTGTATTTTCCTGGTCTAAATAGTACACCTATTAAAGTTGTTAACGAGCACAAGCACCTGGACGTTATTCTCGACCGCCAACTCTCCTGGTCTCCACAAGTCCAGTCTGTGTGCAAGCGTGCGAGTGCGTCCTTAGGTATGCTACAACCCCACTGCCAACACTTGAATGATAACTGCAGAGAATTGTTCTTTAAGTCGTACATTTTGCCTATATTTGACTATTGCGATATAGCTTGGTGCGGGTTGTCTCAGACTTTACTCCACAGACTGGAGGTACATCAACGCTTGCTTCTGAAAATTCTGTTTCGAAAAGACCAAACATTTGCCTCCCTTTGTCTTTATAAACTTGCTTCCACGCACCCTCTTCTTGCCCGACATCAGCAGCATCTTTGTATCCTTGTGCAAAAAATCTTCCTAGCCCAAGTCCCGAAACATATTGCCAAGTACAACTGGTTTGTTACCACTAGACCAACACGCAATGCCTTATCACTGCCCCGAGCTAGTTCCTCTCTGTTTTTGAAATCCCCTTTCTTCTCAGCATACTCCCTTTGGTCTAACCTGCCTACTAGCATTAAGACATGCCAGGATATCAGGAAATTCACAGTCCAGCTTTCCACACTGTCTCATCCGAAGTGATCCCATGTATTATTAATGTGCCTCCCTTTCTTTTTCTCTCCCTATCTCCTTT